TAAATTGCAGATTTAGATATATATGGCAACCACAGATGAATCTTCTTAGCAAGTTTGATCCTGAATAAAGCCATAGAAGTTGTCATGCAGACGCTGCGGTTCACATGGTTCTACTGCTTAATAAATCCTTCAATGATTAAGACGATCCAACATCAGTTGTCGCTAAGTACATGCTCCCTCCGTCCAAAAAAAAAAAAAAAGGGCAAACACGAGTTTCCGTGTCTAACTTTGACTATCCGTCTTATATGAAATTTTTTTATAATTCGTATTTTCATTGTTGTTACTTAGATGATAAAACATGATTAATATTTTATGTATGACTTGTCTTTTTAGTTTTTTTCATAATTTTTTTAAATAAGACGGACGGTCAAACGTTGGGCACGGAAACCAGGGTTTGTCTTTTTTTTTTTTTTTACGGAGGGAGTATCTCCTTGCCTTCTTCGTAACATGTACCTGGACGCATGGAAACATTAGATGATGGCGTCAGGAATCAAGATTGATTGATATTTTTTTTCCTTTTTCAATTATGTACTTTGTCGACGGGTACCGTAGATCGGATAAATATGATATTAAGGTAAGGCTGTGTTTAGTTTACATCAAAATTGAAAGTTTGGTTGAAATTGGAATGATGTGATGGAAAAGTTAAAAGTTTATGTGCATAGAAAAGTTTTGATGTGATGGAAAAGTTGGAAGTTTCAAAAATTATTTTGGAACTAAACACAACGTAAGTTGGTATAAGAATATGACATCAAAACATATTGGAGAGACTAGTGTAGCTATTATTCGAAAGCTTATTAATTTATTTACTGTGTTCAAGGCATGACCACGTGATAGGAGTACTCAAGAAGAGTTACATCTAAGTTCCGATCATGATATGATAAACAAATCTTACTTTTTCTTTCCCAAGCTAGCGCATAACCTCTGAACCGATAGGAAGATCGATGACCCGCATCCTACAACTTCAAGAAGTATTTGTAGCATACCCGAGCAATGGACCGGGGAAGAAGGAGACAAAGATTATACTGGTTCAGGTCCCTCGTAAGGTAATGGCCCTAATCCAGTTTATATGAGATTGATATGTAGAAACCACAGAATACACAGAGAATAGATGAATTCGGCGTTACCGGCGAGATCCTTGTCGAGATGGTTCGACGAGTTCTCCCGGCGAGTGGGCTTCGTGTCCTCCGGCTTCGTAAACTATGGTGGGTATGTTGGTGCTATGATTCAATCCTTTGAACCCCTATGGGGTATGCCTTTTATACCGTGGATTGCCTTAGTCTCCAAATAAAACTCGGAGACAACGAACCTTGCACTATATAGAATAAACTCAATCCTCTCCGAGTAAGACTGTTAATCACCAGCCTAGAAGGATATTTTCCATAATATCTTGTAGATTCCCTTATCACATATGGGAACATACCGTATATATAAAGGTACAGCGTATTCGTATTTTTTATAAGGCGTAGGATAGAAGATATGTCTTATTGATAACCATGACAGCACTGAAAGACCAAATATATAGTTACCGAACAGGATGAAAGACAACTTGGAGTTCAGAGAAAAAGGGCAACCTGGAGCATTTCCAGTACGTAGCTTTGTCGAGCTCGATATTATCACTATCTCGTTTTGCAGATAGAATTTGAGATCCTCATATTTTTAGATGCATCTGTTCTATCGTGTGGCCTTTAATCGGGCCCACGGATTCACAAACCGTAGGTTATGTTTTATGATCTACGGTAGTTATAGCACAATCTATTTAATTAACGGTCGGATATTTCTGGTTAACATGAGAGCCTAAAAAAAAGCCCAATTAATATAGGTATAGATAGATAGATATAGAATTGAACTAGCAAAAATGTCCGTGCGTTGCAATGGGTAAAAAAATTCTAATAATAATATACGTTTTTCATGCATAATCATGTCAATGACAATGTTTCTATTTTAACGAGCGGCTTGTTTTTTTATAAACAGTGTTTTTTTTTCTTGCGCGATTTTCTCAAACCATTTTTCAGAAATGGCGCGTTTCGTTTTTTCCAACCATGTTTTTTGTTTTTTTTACTGGCGAAGAAAACCATATTTTTCTCCTTTTTGTTTTTCTTTTCTCGTGTGTTTTTTTCTTGTTTTCTCGCACGTTTTTTGCTTGTTTTTTTCGAAGGTTCTTTTTTGTTTTTTTCCAATACAGGAGAATATATGACGAAATAAAGCCATGTAGTAGATAGCAAAAAAATCGATGGATCCTATCTGACTCAAGCGTCCATCAATTTAGCTTTTTTTTTACACTTTTTTCAGAGCGATTTATTTTTTAATAGACGGTGTTTTTTTCTTGCAAGGTTTTTTAAAACCATTTTTTTAGAAATGGCGCGTTTTGTCGATAGTTTTTTCCTCGCATGTTTTTTTAAAAATATTTTACCGACGATGGAAATAATTTTTCTCGCGCGTATTTTTTTTATTAACGATGGAAAACCTTTTTAGCGTGTTTTTTTGCGCTTTTTTTCTGACTTTTGCCTCACGCGTTATTTTGACCGTTTTTATTTTCTCACGTATTTTCTCTTTTTAAATAGTTAGATTAGAGATAGAGAAGAGATATATACTGGTTAGAAATCAGATTTTGTTTCGCCCTTTCCAAATTTTTCTCTCTTGCATTTTTTATTTTATACGAACCAGCTTTTTATTTTTTACGAACAATTTTTTTGCTACTTTCTAAGGGTATCGGACAAACTTTTTTAAATATTTTTTCAGATTTTTTTTCACTTTTATAGGAATTATACTTTTTTTCAGTTTTTTAAGAAATCGAATCTAGCGTTTTTTTTGTCACCACTTTTTTTTTTGACTTTTATATGAATCATATTTTTTTTCCGTTCGGATCTACAGTTTTTTCGCCACTCGAGGAGAAAACTTTTGTTGTTATTGTTTTTCTTTATTTTCTTTTTTGTGCGGCTTTTATTTTTCTTTTTATGCACCTTTCTGCCTTCGTTCTCTTTCTCTTTTATTATTTTTTTAACAAAAACGACCTCAAGTTCCTTATTGCAAGATTATAGGGACTTAAATGTAAATATAAAAATTATAGGGACTCAAATATAAAAGTACAAACCCAAAAATTAAAATCATATAAAAATGGAATGCTCTCGACCTGTAGATTCCGTTTTTACAAACAGATCTTTAATCCGGCACATCAATTTTTTTCACCAATATAGAGTCGGACTTTTTTTTGAATTGCATAAAACAGTATGCGTTTCGCTAGTATATCCATCAGCTTTTTCAGCTATTTAGATTAACATTGAACATGTTTCAGATTTTTCTCTTCAGAGTGAAAAAAAAGTTGTAACCTAAAAATAAATATATTTTCGCATGGGTGCTACTCCATAAAAAGAACATACCATTTTTTTATTGTGCCAGGGTGGTGGTTGTCTGGAGGTTTGGTTTGATTATGGCATTTTTTTAACTAGTGCTTAAGTTTTGCTTGTTTTTCTTGGTAAAATTTGGCCACGTACGTGAATATTTTGGGTTGCAGCAATGCAGCAGATCTGCTTTGAAGTTGCACCTTTTACTGAGTACGGAGTAGACCCTGTTTAGGCATGTCTTAGTTCACATCAAACTTCTCTTCAACTCTCAACTTTCCATCACATCACATCAGATCTAAAACTTTCCTACACACATAAACTCTCAACTTTTTTTCAAACTACCAACTTTTTCTAAACTTCTTCCCAATTTCAGGAACTAAACACAGCCTTAGATGGAACTAAAACTTCCCTATCACATCGGATGCTTGGACACTAATTATAAATATTAAATGTAGACTATTAATAAAACCCATCCATAATCTTGGACTAATTCACGAGACGAATCTATTGAGCCTAATTAATTCATGATTAACCTATATGATGCTACAGTAAATATTCTCTAATTATGGATTAATTTGCCTTTAAAAATTTGTCTTGTGAATTAGCTTTCATTTATGTAATTAGTTTTGTAAGTAGTTTATATTTAATATTCTAAATTAGTATCTAAATACAGAGAATAAAGTTAAGTCTCTGGATCTAAACACCACCTAAGCCTTTTGCTTTACATTATACACACGTTTATATGTCGGGTAGACTGAAAGATGATGATGGAGTTAAAACTACACGGATGAAATTTGTTAGATTGAAAAGCTCAATCACAGCCCAAAAAATTGTGAGTTGTATTACTATAGGCCCTGTTTAGGGGTGTTTAGGAGAGAGGAACTTTAGCCCCTCTCTCCAAAAAATAAGTCCCTACAGAGGGACTTTGTTTAGTTCCTAAAAACTTTTCGTAAAATCATCACATTAAATCTTTGGACACATGTATAGAACATTAAATATAGATAAAAAGAAAAACTAATTACACAGTTTACATGTAAATAGCGAGATAAATCTTTTGAGCCTAATTAGTCCATGATTAGTCATAAGTGCTACAGTAACCCACATGTACTAATGACGGCTTAATTAGGCTTAAAAAATTCGTCTTTCGGTTTCCAGGCGAGTTATGAAATTAGTTTTTCATTCGTGTCAAAAACCCTTTCTGACATCCGATCAAACGTACAATGTAACACCTAAAAATTTTTATTTCACCGAGTGAACAGGCCCATAGTACCATTACCATCCATGCATGCGCAGAGGATCCCGTGGCCCAGAGCCACGTCGTGCCAAGTGCGGCGGCCTGCGAGGGAGACGCATGAGAAGGGGGGGCATGATGGATTGCAGGAAGCAATCGATCGATCAGCGATCAGCTCTGCACTGCCTGATCATCTCCACTCGTCTCATCTGAGTTCCCCCACGTCCACACTCCACTCTTCCTTTTCTTTTCTCTTCTCGCCACCCACCGAGCCGGGCCCCAGTCCCCACTGTCGCTGACAGACAGACACCCCCCCCCTCCCCCCCGATTCGTCGAATCCCACACATTTACTCCTCGTCACCCACCTCCCTCCTCCTCCTCCAGCACCACCGCCGCTACTAGTATAAAACACGGACCGATCCTCTGATCCCCTCAAGAAGAGCGAGGCAGCCATCGATCGTCGCCTCTCTCGACAGGTGGGGGGATTTAGTCGAGCGTTCGTACCGCTGCTCCTTCCATTCCATTCCTTTGGCTCTTGTGCAGCTCGATCCATCGCTGCTGCTCATTAATGGCGTTTGTTTGATTATGGAGTAGTAGTACTTTGTTTGTTTGTTTCTTCTCCTGTGTGCTTGACTGGTAGTTACTTGTTGCAGCAGCTGGATGGAGCGGTGCAGCGTGCTGGGGCTGGGCGGTGGCGGGGGCGGGGGCGGGCGGCTGGACGGCGAGCTGCCGCCGGGGTTCCGGTTCCACCCGACGGACGAGGAGCTGATCACCTACTACCTGCTGCGGAAGGTGGTGGACGGGAGCTTCAACGGGCGCGCCATCGCGGAGATCGACCTGAACAAGTGCGAGCCGTGGGAGCTGCCGGAGAAGGCCAAGATGGGGGAGAAGGAGTGGTACTTCTACAGCCTCCGCGACCGCAAGTACCCCACGGGACTCCGCACCAACCGCGCCACGGGCGCCGGCTACTGGAAGGCCACCGGCAAGGACCGCGAGATCCGCAGCGCCCGCACCGGCGCCCTCGTCGGCATGAAGAAGACCCTCGTCTTCTACCGCGGCCGCGCCCCCAAGGGCCAGAAGACCCAGTGGGTCATGCACGAGTACCGCCTCGACGGCACCTACGCCTACCACTTCCTCTCCTCCTCCACCCGGGTCAGCACTTTCCCCATTTATTTTCTTCACCTTTTGCCCATTGTGTTGTTCACTTCATCCTTTGGAAACTTTCTGTTGTTGTTCTTGCTGCGGATGATGTGTGCAACATATGGTAGGAATAAGTCACGAGGGGTCTAGGGCACAATCGCTAGCTCTGAGCTTGCTTTTCTGGTGTGAAGTCATCAGCAGCGAGCTCCCTCCCTGCGCTGCTATGCTACTTCCTGTAGCAGCGCAGGGGTGCTGCGACGCAGATTGCTGCATACTGTACGTAGATATGGTAATCGGTCAGCTTAGCGCAGTGAAAGATCAGAGGCTGCAGCTTAGCAGGATACGAATCTTTTTTTGGCCTCATGGAAGCTTATATGCAATCCAACGCATGAATGCGTGGATACATGAGAGCACAAGGTGTAAATGCATACTGTACTCCTTACGTATTTGCAATTTGCATTTAGCAAAAATAGATGCCTTGGGCATACATCTGCGTTTGTCATTTGAGCGAGTAAACCAAAGAGGAACAAAGTTCGCCTTGTGCAACGTGCACGCGAAATCGTAGTACTGTACTGCTGCTACACAACCTTGTACTACCCTTTTTTTAGTTCATGATATATATACACAGTTAAATTCGTGTTGCTACACAACCTTGATTCTTAATTTCTCTGTGTTGATGTGTCGTGCAGGATGAGTGGGTGATAGCCAGGATCTTCACCAAGCCCGGCGTGTTCCCCGTCGTCCGCAAGGGCCGCCTCGGCATAAGTGGCGGCGGCGGCGACACCTCGTGCTTCTCGGACTCCACCTCCGCCTCCGTCGGCGGCGGGGGCGGCACCTCCGCCTCGTCGGCGCTGCGCGCGCCGCTGGCTGAGGCCTCGCTGTTCGCCGCCGCCGCGGCGCCAGCCGTTGACGGCGCCGACAGCAGCAACTACGGCGGGGGCGGCGGCGCCGGCAGCGCCACCGCCACCGCCAACTTGGTCACCGGCCTTGAGCTCGTGCCCTGCTTCTCCACCACAGCCCACATGGATGCCTCGTTCGGCACCGGGCAGTACAACCCGGCCCCGCTGGCCGTCGAGCCGCCGCCGCCGCCGCCGGCCTTCTTCCCGAGCCTCCGCTCGCTGCAGGAGAACCTGCAGCTGCCGCTGTTCCTCTCCGGCGGCATGCAGGCGGGCGTGTCGTCGCAGCCGCTCAGCGGCGGCGGGGCCTTCCACTGGCAGTCCGGCATGGACGTCAAGGTCGAGGGCGCCGTCGGCCGCGCGCCGCCGCAGATGGCCGTTGGCCCCGGCCAGCTCGACGGCGCCTTTGCATGGGGCTTCTAGCCGCAGATCGACGTCATGACGCGCATGGGGCCGGCAAGTATGCCCTTCAAAGTGTATGCTAATTACTACTTACTAGCTCATTAATTACTACTAGTAGTACTGTATTAATTAGCCTCTGATCTGTTCTTAGCTCAGGTTTTAAGTTCCTAGTAGGTGTATGGTTAAAGTAGAGTGAACTCTGGACTATGGCTAGCATGTTGTGATCGTTGTGTCATCTCACTGCAGTAGCAGGATTTCCCCTGAGGTGACTGATCAGTGATTACACAATTTTTATAGATTTAGTAATGTACGAACCAATATAACCGGTCTAATTAATGTATGTGTATCGGAGCGTATCTGTTCACAATCTATGAGACAGATGCATGGTTGTTTCAGCTCCAAACCACCATCTTTAGGTATATTTTCGTGCTGCATTTCTTTTTATACCAGTTTGTTAATAATGTGAAGATTCATTATTGCAACTGTAGGGAGTTGCAACTGTAAGATAGATTTCATCGCAGAAGATCTAGGGATATTCATGACAGCACGCTAGCTATTCAGGATCCAAATCCAATTTGTTCATCCTACTAACTGCCTAACACGCAAAGTTTAAATTTTAAAGATGATGTGACTGAAAAGTTGTGTATGTATGACATGCTGATGTGATGAAAAATGACTAAAGTTTGGATCCAAACTTCAAATCTAAACACAGCCATTGTCATTCATTTGGCTTGAATAACAAAAGTGACGTTGTCAAATTATTCGATCGGCATCTCTTTGGAAGTATTAATAGTTCTCTACAATACAAATCAAAGAATAGATAATCTTGCCAGAAAATGTAGCAACGTTCGAAACAACAATCTTGTGCAAAATAAAATAAAAAAAATCTTGCTATTGCCAAAGTGCACGGCTAAGATTAATTGGCATAGAATGAACATATACTATCCACCACCTGGTTACCGATGGTGTTAAAGCGTTGATAGTTCGTAGGTCATTCAGTTGGCCCTTTGGCTGAGCTCGAAACCAGTTGCTTGGCTGGGACTCGTTGTGCACTTGTGCCATATGTCCATTAGCATATGATTAATTGAGTATTAATTATTATAAAATTAAAAAATAAATTAATATGCTTTTCTAAAGAAACTTTGGTTTAAAACACTTTTGCATCGAACATACCGCTTAATAGCTTAATATTTAGAGAAATGTATCAATTCTTGTCTTGGGAGCCCCTACGGGGACACATGTGGACGGGAAATACAATATACTAGTAGGTACTTATAGTACTTACACCTTTGTGCATTTCTGTGCAAGAAAATAGCTGTTTCAAAACTTGGTCCAGGCCGACCACCTGTTCAGTTATGGCCTAGCTAACGTTTTATAATTTCAGGAGTACTTTCTATAAAAATTGTCTTTTTCTTAAAAAGAAATCAATACTTTCCCTGACGATATATTTATGGTTCAACTCAACTATGCAAATTAATAATGCGAAAAAGCTATCAGTTAGGAGTACATATTGTTCGGAAAAAAATGACTACCAATTAGTATTTGGTGTCGCTATACTGGCTCTATAAATTTAAGCCTAGCCAATCTCACAAACAAAATTTGGCTAACAACAAAATATCAAGCGTATGTTCTTACCGTCACTTTTAACCATACCAAAATTTGGTATACTAAGACCCTATTTAGATTTCAACTTTTTCTTTAAACTTTTAACTTTTTTGTCACATCGAATTTTACTATACACATAAATTTTCAACTTTTCCGTCACATCGTTCCAATTTCTTCAAACTTCTAATTTTGATGTGGAACTAAACACAGCCTAACACCATCCTACCAAAATTTGGTATAGCTCCAAAACTTTCCATGTACTTATAAAAACGGTACCAAAATGTTGAGATTGGCAACAAAGCGAACAAGCTCCAACGTCACCCCCAAAGTTTTACAAATGGCCAGATCTTACCATTGCCAACAATATTTGCGTAGATCATTAAAAAAATAAAAATTTGTTAATGCTATAATGGCATATACAACCAAATAAGCCCTTAATATGTAGACCGGTCCAGATCAACATAATTCTTGTCATTTTTCGCCGCCATGAAATGACGATAAACCAACGTCCAATATAGTCACCACATATAAACGCCAATGCTCCTCAAGTTAGGAAAAAAATGCGATCAAATGGAATAAGCAATGCGTATTCCTGTTTTTTTTTTTAAAAAAAAGTTTAGAACAAATATGGCTGTGTTTAGTTCAGCGCAAAGTTTAGATTTTAGTTAAAATTGGAGATGATGTGACTGAAAAGTTATGTGTGTGACAGGTTGATGTGATAGAAAAAGACTGAAGTTTGGATCCAAACTTTGGATCTAAACACAACCTATGCATGATATTCACCTGCTTGTGGCCACAATTTGGCTTTGTTTGTTGCCCCCGGTTCCCAACTCCTCCATCCCGTTTTCCGCGCACGTGCTTTTTAAATTGCTAAACGGTGTGTTTTTTTTAAAAAAATTATATACGAAAGTTGCTTAAAAAATCATATTGAACCATTTTTGAAAACAAATAGTTAATACTTAATTAATTACGTGCTAATGAACCGTGTTCCGTTTTCTGTGCGGGGGACATGGGTTTCCAACCCAGGCTAGAGTGGCGTTAGCTTGTCATAACACCCAAGTCCTAACTTAGCAAGAGTTTCTATCTCTTGGAATTTTTTTTTAATTCTCTCTCATTTGATCCTGCGTTTTTCATTTTTCATGCGGTCCATATAAACAATTATTTTATGTGTTTTTATGTGTTTTGCAACCATCTACATTATATTTACACCTGTATTACTGTCAGAATCCTGTGTTTTTTTTTTCAGTTCCCTGTTTTTTCAATCCTGCTGTTCGAATTGGGCCCTAAACCAAGGCCGCGGCGCATGTGTTAATGATTGAATCGGCGAAGATCGACGAATTGACAAGAGAGATCCTTGGAAACAAAAGAGAGGGCACGTTTATCCGGTGGATGGGTTTTGTATGGTCTATGGATGTATCATGGATGACATGAACCTGCCGGCTGTTGAGGGTAGTACTACTCCATAGGAGAATGGAGTTGTAGCATTTGGTAGGCGGAGGAGTTAAAAAAGTCTACCGGGGAGGGGGCCTCTCCCCCTGCGGCAGCTCGGCTGGCACGGCATGATTCCCTTGCCCGGCTTTTGCATGCATGCGTCCATCCGCCCGTCGATTCCAACCGTCACTTCTCCATGCTACTGCCCATGGCCCCATGCCCTCCCTGTCACCATATGCCCTCTCCTCCTCCTCCTCTCTATACACCGTACGTGCGCTGAGTAGGAGTACTAGTAGGAGGAGTATTTTATGTGACGGAGAGGATGGCGATGGTGACGGGATGTGTAGACGTCTCCTGCTGGATCCCTGGGAAGCTACGTGACGAGGGATACTACTACACAGGGTTAATACAGGGTCCATCAGTTTCACCCGTCCGTCCGTCCGTCCGTTCGTCCATCTTACATCATGCCCCCTGCTAGCTGTCAGGTGCAGCGATCGGCTAAAAAGAAATGGAGAAATGGAGCGCGTTGTTTGGGCATTATAATTCCACCATAAGCCGAAATTACACAAAATACCATCCTATCGTATATCAACGAGTGGAGTGGTGTTCTTCGTTTCTCTACGAAGATGAAGATGTAGCCAGAAAACGGAAAATGAAAAATCAATTAGCACATGATCAATTGAGTTTTAACAATTATAAATCTAAATAATAGATTTGTTTGATATTTTAAAGGAATTTATATAAAAAAAATTTTCACATCGAATACATCATTTAGTAACGTGTTAACAGAAAATAGAATCATTCGAACACATCGAACGAGGCCTCCTAGGCTCCTACTCCTACAATATTCAGGAATCAGTACGTACCGTACGTTCAGTTGCATCGCATGGGCTGAGCCCTGTTAGGTGAATGTAGGTAGACCCACGGGCTACGGTGCCAACGACAAAGCTGCGCTGGGTAGCAAGCCCACTTCTCTTTTAATCACAGAGAGCAGGCGGGCACTAAAACACGTTCATCCCCATCATTTTCGGTTAGAGTTTTGCTTATAAGTTAAATTTTAAATTTTAGTGCTTAATTTTGAAGTTAATTACGTGGTTTTTATCATATTTTATTCTACGGTAAATAAGAACCCGATCTAAGAGAGAACATGCTCTGATCGGGTCTTATCTCCGATAACCAAAGTCGTCGAAGTATCAATTATTACAACTAAAAATAATTCATTGTAAGATATTGTACTATTGCAATGATAACTTTTCTGCGGCAAATAACTGTATATTCTTGCAATGATTTATAATTGTTGTTTTATTTGATATTTTAGTTGCAATAGGAAATAAACTATCACAAAGAAATATTATTGTTGCAAAAAATACATGTTCTATCGTCATAGTTTTAATTTTTGTGGAAATTTGTTAAGTACATGGTTGTCGTAAGTTATTTTTCACTATTTTCTGTTGCCACGATCAATAAATTCGTCACAATAAAAAATTGCCATCTTATAATTTAACTTAGTTTTTTCATATGGACACTGTTCGGGAAAAAAATATATGAAAACTATAACTCTCAATGAGATCTACAATTTTATAGGTTATAGCTTTTTCATTTGAAATCTTTTGGATACTCAAATCCATGATTCAAATCTCAATTCGGTAGGCTCAAATCGCTACTACAACATACCTCATAGGGAACAGCCTATGGGCCTTTTCCCACCTCCCTGTCATGGAAAAATATAGAACCGGCACCTTTGAACACTATAGGTGCCGGTAATAGAGGAAAAACCGACACTTATACTAATAGGTGCCGGTTTTTTAAAATAACCGGTACCTATAGTATATTATAGGTACTGTTTTTTTTTTTAAAAAAGTGGCGCCTATACTAAACAAAGCTGAGCCGGTGAGCTGATCAACTGTGTCCATATCTCTACTCTGCCCAATGCCCCACCCATCCATCTAACGTCGTCCTTATCTCTACTCCGCTCAGCGCCCTACCCACCCATCCAACGCTCTCTCTTCTCTCGTCTCTCTGCCTCCCCTCTCTCGCGTCTCTCCCCCTCCCCTTACTCTTGCGGTGATTGCCTAGCGGAGGCGGCACTGGCGGCGGTGGTGGCCACGCCCTCCTCTCTGCCAGATCCGGCAGGAGGGGAGGCGGCAGGCTCCTGCAGCCGGTGGCGGGCTCCTGTGGGCGGCGGTAGGCTCTCCTCCGCCAGATTTGGCGGGAGGGGACGCGGCGGGTTCCTGCAGCCGGCGGCGAGCTCCTCACGGGTGGTGGCACCCTCCCCTCTGCTGATGTGAACCCGCTAGGGTTTGTGCCCGATCTTTCGATGAGAGGTGTGGGATAACTCGATTGGATGAAGATGACGTTCATGGCACGACTACAACCGTCCAAAGACGCTGCGCCTTAGCAACCGATATACCGTCTCTAATGGTTGCTGCGAATTTGTGGTGTGTGTCAACCCGGCCACGAGGGCACTCATCCTGCAAGCAATCGAAGAACAAGCAAGAACAAGTAGAACAAGCACTGAATTGCTAGATGAAGATGAAAGCTTCACTATGAAAAACACAATATGGCGGGGTTCTGATTACAGGCAGACGGGCGGTTTAGCCAACACGCGCGCTGCGAGCAGGTAGCAAGTAGCTAACTCTATCATCAAAAACCGAGCGTTCTTGGCGGTGATTAGAGGTATAAGAAGAGGGGAAGAATGACTACAGGGTCGTGCTCCAACCCTAGGATGCGCCCCTAATGGGCCCAACCTGATACACAGCCCATTGGGCCAAAAGAGGTGACGCAACACTATGGACAGAAAATAGTCGGGAGTAAAACGATAATTGTGGCCGCTCCAGAACAGATATGGACATATGGCTAGATCCATTTGAAAGTAGACTTGATAAGCTTTCCATGAAGTACTTGCACGCTCAAATCGGAGTTCGCATGAAGTCGTGGCGGCCGTCAGAAGTTGGCGTTGTCCTGTAGTCCGAATCCACCCCGCGCGAATCCTCTCCCCTTTGGATCCTCTCCATCGTTACTGAGTAAAAGAAGAGTGCACGCGTCTCCGGGGTATAAAGAAGAGGAACATAAACTCAAGAAAGAACTCACCTGATAGTTGAGTTGACGTGCACGAGCGCGGGTAATAGGACCATCAAGTCGTACTTGCAGAGACGTGGATGTATCGATGGTGTTGATGTCCTCATCATCTGCCAGATCTGGCTGGAGGGGAGACGGAGGGCTTCCGTGGCTGGCGGCAGGCTCCCGATGGGAGGTGGCGGTGGGCGCCGATATGCTTTAACTCAACCTGCTCTATGTTCATTATGCTATTGAGGTTGCTCAGCACAAATCCTATTGGTCCTTCTTATAAGAGGTGTTGGCCTGTTCATTTTATTATTGGTTGGATGGGAGTTTATTTGAAAAGTATCTTTGGTGATAAAGTGAATAAGCCACATGCCCCTTCTTTTATTCATGGTTCTCGGAAATCCATGATGGTGAACACAATGTTTAGAACCCCCAAGCGTTTCAGTCCTGACGAAGCCTTCAAATTTTTATGCAAAGATGCCAACATCCATTGGTATCCCTACAAACCAACCTTTAAATAAGCATGTTTTGCTTATCTGTTCAGTGTGGTTTGCTTCCTATTAAGCATGTTGACCTATGCCTCGCTGAACCCTATCACCCAGATCGGGTGGCTTAGCAGTTCAGACTTGATCAAGTCACTCCATATCCACCAGCAGCGAGTTTGTACAATGGAGAGAGATTTGGGGTTCCTTGCACCTATTGGATGCATCCTTTTATGCTCGGCAGAATTGGTTCTACCTCTCATTCCTAACAAGACCCATGTCGAGAGTTGTATGGTGCATTGGCTCTGGTTGTATAAGAAATTTGTTGAGCCATTCACTTGAGTTTTTAATCAACTCATTCATGGTAATGTATGTGGTGGAGTGCCTCTTGAGCATAGAAAAAATCTGGCGGTGGACAGAGTCATTATTGCCCATGGGCTTTCCCGTCGAGATTTTTGTATCATACAAGTACTCCCTCCGTCCCAGAAAGAAGGGATTCCTGGAAGCCCAAGGTAGTTTTAGGACAAAGAGCAAAAGGCTAAACTACCCTCAGTACTAGTACACCCAATCATTAGGTACAAATAAAGTATTACTACTGCCACACATTAATAAAACAGGAGTAGTACTCCATACTCAAACACACAGGCAGACATAGGGCGCCAAGGTGCCAAATAATTTGAATGAAGAATTAAGTGCCACTTCATTGGCGGGATGTAATACAAATTTAGCACACCCCACCACAACAAACCCTACAAGTTTCAAATCAGAAGTTTCCCTCCCACTTTATCACTTCATAACTCTGCAAAAACACAACTTTCCTTCCCACTTTATCCCTTCATATCTCTGCAAAAACACATCCATGGCTTTAGATCTAAATATAGCATTAGATGATGGAGATGAACATGCTGTACCTAACCTCAATGAAGCAGTGGCTGATCAGGAGGATGACCAGGTTGGAGGTGATCTCCAGGGAGGTGCCAACCATGAGCTTCCTGGAGGTGATTTCCAGGGAGGTGCCAACCATGTGCTTCCTTTTGATCTCAACTTGTATGCATCTGACCACCAAGGAGAAATACATCTAGGTAACCTTGTAAACATGAATAGAAAACAATTGATCTTTGTAGATATGGCTTGCATAAATCACTCTAAAATCTTTGCCATTTCTCTGTAAAAATGATCTATAACATGTGCATTGATGCAATTGCTATCTTCTTGGAACAAAATTGGTCTTTGATAAGTTTGAGAAAACAATTAGGACTTGATTTTTTTTCTTTGATATTTACCAACTCAATTCTGTCAAGAGTTGAGCATAATGAAATTCATTCCCTTCCATAATATCAGAGGTTATACTAGATTCTAGATATGCTAGATTCTGCATGGATAGTTTCCTTTATAGTACTGGTATTGACCTAAATTGTCTGTAGCTCAAGCAACATCATCTTAATATAAAGTAGGAATAAACATGAGAATTCAGAAAGCATGAGCACTGTTTTCATCTATGTGTAAAATCATGAACTGGAATAATAAGCAAACAATTTATATATATTCCTTTCTAATGTCATAATTTCAGCTAGTACTATAAAAGAAAGTTAGGTTGTACCTCCAATGTTGTACACAGAGCTCTAAACTTCAGCACGAAAGTTTGTACAGAAACAAACAACTCATTCATGTATGACCCAAATATCAGTATACCAGCAAAATAAGATAAAATCACAATCGGAAGATTTGATAAGAAATGTGTAACACATTTGGGGAAAAATAATCATGAGCACTTCCATCAGTATAACTACTACTGAGATGGATATGTCTTTGACCAATTAAACCTTTGTCATATAAAAGGACACATAATTCAACAGGACATCAAATATGGAACCATGGATCAATATAGAATAATCTGCATGGCAAAAAGTATTGTTTTTGTACATGGTACTCACATGATATTTGTTATTGTAGACGATGCTGATGCCATGGATCAAGTTCTGCAAGTAAATGGAGGTCACAACCATAATGCCTTTCCTTTTGATCTCAACTTTGATGCCAATGAGGAAGACCTACAATACCATCTAGGTAAGCCCTTTAACCGACATGACTATCAGATTTACAAAAAAAAAGATAAAATGTGGTTTTACCCAAAGGTTGTAGAATAATATTATTTATCTGAAATCATGTTTTTAATTAGAAGTTAGTAATATTATATCATGCCAACTACCTACAATAGTCCAACCGTGTCATTTGGTTGTATTAGTTGCAATAACAATTCAGGATTATAAATTAGACATTTCAGCACATAGTAAATCACAAAGAATAATGAGATTTACCAATAAATGCATTGATATCTTGTATTTACATACAATTGTCATGTCAATCGGTACACTACCACAGTAATCTAAAAGAAAGCACATAAACTAAATTGTGTCAATGTCTCTGTCCCTCTTAGATGTGATATGTACGGTTAAATCATATTACAAATAAAACCATGTGGTGAACCTAAAAAGTTATGCCATAATTTTGCAAGCATGTTGATCAATGACAATAAAATATTACAATTCTGAATTGGTACATATGACTAACCTTATAATTGCTGTTGTAGACATGCAAGAGTACGGCGTGTATGCGGGTGATGTGGATGTTGTTTTCGAACAAGAGGAGTTGGTTGATTCAGATGAGGAAGATGAACATCAAAACAAAAATCTGACCAAAATTCAAAGGCAACAGATATATGCAGCATTGACTGGAAAAACTAACAATGGAATCCTGAGAAAAATGAGAAAAAATGCTACAACTGAAGTTGCAGCAATGTTTAATGTGAAAAGGGCTAGAGTGCAAGCTATTTGGCGAAGAGTGAAGCAATGCCGTGCCCAGGGAATACCAATTGATGTAATTTCTAGGAAAAAAAAGAATTGTGGTCGCAAAAAGAAAGAAATCAACCTAACAGATGTTGCTAATGTTCCCTTGCAACAAAGAGGCACTTTACGGTTATTTGCATCAGCCTCAGGTATACCAAAGAGCACACTGCATAGGATGTTGAAAGAAGGGCTGCTAAGACGTCACTCAAATACACTAAAGCCATTGTTGAAGGAAGAGAATAAATAATCAAGGCTGCGGTGGTGTCTTTCCATGTTAGATTGGCATACTTTGCCAAATCAACCCAAGTTCATTGATATGCGAAACATTGTGCACATAGATGAAAAATAGTTCAATACAACTAAAAGGACAAGAACCATTTACATGGTCCATTGGGAGGATGATCCATACCGACCTGTCCAAAACAAAAATTCTATCGATACAGTGATGTTCTTGGCAGCAGTTGCTAGGCCCAGATACAATGAAGAAGGTATCTGCACTTTTGACGGCAAGATAGGCTTGTGGCCTTTCACCAGAAAGGTACCATAACCTCTTTATATATGCATTTTTACTTTGTGATTTGATCTGAAAATTAATTGTTAATCTAACTTGATTATTGTGCTACTTAGGAACCAGCGCAAAGGACAAGTCATAATAGACCAAGGGGGACTCTAGTCAACAAGACAATCAAGGTTGATCGAGATACCGTAAGGTCATTTCTGATTGCTAAAGTCCTACCAGCTATTATAGCAAGTTGGTCTCCAGAAGAAGCACACAACACTATATGGATTCAGCAGGATAATGCTCCCTCTCATGTCCTAGTGGATGATCCTCAATTTGCCTATGCAGTTTCCCAAACAGGGTTTGACATCCGACTCATGCATCAGCCTCCTAATTCCCCAGATATGAATGCACTAGATCTTGGGTTTTTTTGCGTCTCTACAATCATTAACATATAGAAGGATATCCAAGAATATGGATGACCTAATAGATAATGTTGAGCAGGAATTTCAGGCCTATGATGACAACAAGCTAAATAGGGTGTTCCTAACATTGCAATCTTGCTTGTTAGAGGTTATGAAAGCTGATGGAGGAAATGGATACAAGATCCCTCATATGGGTAAAGAGAGTCTAGAGCGTCTAGACATTCTCCCCAATACCCTTAGTTGTGATTTTGAGCTATATGATAAGGTAACAACAGCATTAGCCAACCAAGTGCAGTAAATCATGCAATATGGGAAAGCAATATCATGGTTTCAGCTTTTGGTTAAATGTCAGGATGTATATGTGATAAGTTAAGATCAGTGTTGAGCAAGTAAATGCAACAAACCATGTAATGTGGGAAGTTTTATGATGGTTTCAGCTTTTGAAATATGTAATGTGGGAAATTTATCATGGTTTCATATTTTGGCCAGATTTCAGGTTGTATATATGACAATGTAATATCAGTATTAGGAGTAAATCATGTCATGTGGAAAGTTTATCATGTTTGAGTTTCTAGCTAAACTTCAGATTATATATATATGGCAATGTAAGATAAGCATTGCATCCATCATCGTCATATTGTTCGTAATGTTAGGAACAATATTAATTTCATTGAGCACAATAAACCATCATATTTTACAATAATTCTGCAGGATACCATTCATAAGCACTCATGTAATACCATAATTACACATGCTTCCATATACAATACCAAAAGTTTACCTACTTTCACATACTTGGTCAGGCTACTAATTATAACCACATGATCTCATGTACTACCATAATTACACAATACCAAAAGTCTAAGTGCTATGTTAGGCCATCATTCATAACCACCAATCCGGCACAAAAGCAACACATAATTTAAGCATTCATCTAAACTTTTTACTCTTAAAACATTCCAGAAAATTCTTTACCGATTTTTCCAAGGCATCTTCGTCTTGCATGAGTTCTTCTAGGCCACTATCATCGTATGGATCTTGCGCATATCTCCCAATGACCATGCCAACATCACATTTGGCAAGGTTGCAGCAGAGGAAGCTGGTGGCCCCTGGAGGAAAATATTATATGACTTCTTGAACATGGAGACTAGCTATACGGAGTATAGCTCAACCACACCGGGTACCCTCCTTTCGTACTGTAATATATTGTATAATTTTTTTTTACCCTTAGTGACTTAGTCCATCCGTCTTATGTATTTTTTTTTGGTTCCAGCAGGAGAACATTTTTTCTGTAGATCCTACTCTAGGCTCTTCGTCACAACCTATTTTGGTTAACAACACACCAGCATGTGAAAATTTGGTAGATAACCATGCCCTCACGCAACCTGAGAGCAGTAGGAAGCGGAAGTCTTCCAAAGGCATTTCTTCAAGTGACAAGGGAGATCCGTCAGCCAAGAGAAAGCTTCAGTTTACCAGATGCATCTGAGGGTTATGATTCCATGATTACACATATCCCTCCCACCACAATTAGCGGCCAATATCTAGCCCAGGCGTTTACTGAATGTACACATCCTGAGGACGACGATCATGAAGCCTCCACATAATTTGGTGTAATAGGGGTGGGAAGGATGTTGTAATCTGTGCCTTTTGTCGATCATTATGTTGGTACATCAGAATTGGATGGGGATTTTTCAAAATCTCCATATAATTTGACTCGAATATTCTCTCCGACTGTCTAGTCGAGTGATACTGCTTCCTGTAATTATCATGTCCATCCAACCATGGTTCCTTCTAACACTGTATCATCTATCACTCTTGTTCAACGTCCTTCTATGCAAGGATCATTTTCGTCATCAAAGAACTGACGTCAGCGACGTAATGCTTGTCACACATGGGTTTACTTCCTGGTTGCAATTGAGGCTAGGGAGGCAAGCCGTCAACGTGAGAAAGTATACGATGATATGATGGACAAAAGGATAAGAGATAGCCGAAGAGGCCAAGCTAAAAGATTTGAAGATTGGGCTACATTCATCGAAGCAACCATTTGCCGTACTATAAAGGAAATGTTCTACGTCCGACAATGACATGGGTGGCAAGCATGCTAAGCTCGTGGTGTGCTAAGCAAGAAGAACACAAGGGAGGAGAATTGACTGCATGAGCAAACTCCGCGTGCAGCCGAATTCAAGGGGCATCTATGTCCTCATCAAGTAATAGTCAGCTGGTGGACAAGGAGAGGTCAATGTCATGCACACCGATGAAAATAACAGCAACAACAACATTGTCTCGTTGGCCGGTCTGGAAGAGAGCGTCAAGTGGTGCATTTGAGGTTCTTTCTTCAATGCTAGTGGGGATCACGAAAACTGTGGATAGCACCAGCGATGCATCATCTACTTCTGTACACTTAGAAAGAAAAGCCGAGAAAATTGTTGTACTGGGTCACCATCTTGTAACTCGTAGTATTTCTAGTTCTGATAATGAAGAGCATGTTAATTTGAGATATTCATCATCAGAACTTGAATAACTCAAATTAACACGCTCTTCATTATCAGAACTTGAAATACTACAAGTTACATGATGGTGACCCGGTACAACAATTTTTCGGGCATTCTTTCTTTCGAAGTGTACAAAAGAAGATGATGCATCACTGGTGCTATCATCCGCTTTCGTGATCCCCACCAGCATTGAAGAAAGAACCTCAAATGCACCACTTGACGCTATCTTCCGGACTAGCCAACAAGACAATGTTGTTGTTGCTGCTGTTGTTTTCCTCGGTTTAGGTGACGTTAACACCTCCTCGTACACCCTGTAACCATTGCTTGATAAGGACATAAATGCCACTTGAATTCTACTGCACATGGAGTTTGCTCGTGCAATGAATTCTCCTCGCTTGTGTTCTGCTCGCTTAGCACGCACGCGCTTAGCGTGCCTGCCACAGTTCTTGCTCAACAAGCTCTTGATACTCTGGCCAGCTGGCTAGTGCCTCGGCACGCCTCATAACGATGCCACCCATGTCATTGTCGGAGGTAGAAACGCCTGACAACATTTCTTTCATATAACGATAGATGGTTGCTTCAATGAATCTAGCTCAATGTTCAAATCTTTCAACTTGGCCTCTACGGCTATCTCTAATCCTTTTGTCCATCATATAATCATACACTTTCTCACATTGACGGTTCACCTCCCTAGCCTCAATTGCAACCGGGAAGTCAACCCTAGTGTGACGAGCATTGTGTTGAAAATATTATAATAAATTTAAATATTAGCGTGCTTGCCATCCATGTCATTGTTGGACGTAGAAATGTCCGACAACATTTCTTTCATAATACGATAGATGGTTGCTTCGATGAATGTAGCCCAATCTTCAAATCTTTTAGCTTGGCCTCTTCAGCTATCTCTAATCCTTTTGTCCATCATATCATCGTATACTTTCTCAGTTGACGGCTTTCCTCCCTAGCCTCAATTGCAACTGGAAAGTCAACCCTAGTGTGACGAGCATTGTGTTGAAAATATTATAATAATTTTAAATATTATATTAAATATATTTTCATTATAAATTTATCTTGGATAAAAAATATTACTATTTTTTTCTATAAACTTGGTGAAACTTGAAGCAGATTGACTTTGACCAGTCAAAACATCTTATAACCTGAAACGGGGGAATACATGATTTTTCCTTACCTACTTAAAAAATAAAATTTGTTTTCAAGTTTTTTTCTTCATCTATCGTTCCCTATCTATCTCGGTTCCGATCGGCGATCAAGTGCTTCCAATTTTCATCTGCAACATCCTCCTCGCTCTGATTTCGTACGTCGCTTGCGTGCGTCCATGTCATCCCACGTTTTGCTTTTGCATGCAGTTCCTGCGGCATGCGTACAACATGCAAACAAAGGCCCAGAGACAATCATGGATTCGACAGTGCGCTCCGCTCGGCTCCAGGCTGACCCCGAGCGCGTCATGCAAGGCCTTTAGGGCCATAGGCGAACTCTGTAATATAGGCCCTTAATACTATTTTTTATTTATACTATATAATTTACAAAGCACATATGGTCTGAAGAAACACAAATAAACATTTCTAACATGGTAAATAATAAATAAAACGGTTGTAAA